ATGTTTAACTCTGAGCCCATAGGCCATATGTGGCTCACAGAGCCATCACATTTGACCCACAGAGCTCCCTAGGGATTAGGAAATTTGGCAGTGGGGGAGCAGTAGCCATTAATATGGCCATCCTCCCCCCTGCGAAATTCCCAACCCCAAGCCCAGCACAGCTGGTTGGGCTGGGCCGCACCCATTCCCTCCCCCGGGGCTGGGTCAGAGCTGGGCCAGGTCCCTTCCCCCAACAGGTCTGAGCCACGCTCCCTTACCACCATGGGGCCAGGCCACACTCCCTTCTGTTCCCCCACCTCCCCTAGGTTGGAGTCAGGCCATGCCCCTTCCACTGTGGGGCTGGATCAAGCCCTTTTTCTCTGCAGGGCCAGGCTGGGGCTGAACTGCCCTTTGCCTTCTTCCCTGTAGCCAGATGGTGTCCACTGCACCCACCCTAGGCACTGGATTGGGACCACCAGTCAGATCTGGCACATGGACAGACCAGACATTGCCTATCCAGCCCCCTGGGGAAAAAAGTTGAGCATGATTTGCCTTGACTATTAAGGATAAAATAGAAAAATAGGGAAAAAATGATGCTGTAAAACAATGAATAGTAAAACTGTTGGGGAAGTGGTAATGGGTAGAAAATAATTAGGCAAATATCCAGGACCTGTAGACTGAAGTAACTAAAAAACTGGAAGTATAAACAAGAAAATAAAATGCAGTCTAGAAGACATTATTCAAGTACTTTAGTGACAGTGACAGTGGCACCCCACCCTGGTGTTTGGGACATGGTTCTGCACATAAATACAGAAGTATTGCAGAAAAGGGACTAAAAAGGGTAATGAGGAGGCCACCGAGGCATTTACCTCCTTAAAAAGGTAATAAAGAGGCCATTGAAGCATTTGGGCGTTATACCTTTGAGAAACTAGAAAATGAATTACATTTACATCCACTACAAGAAAGGAGGAGGAAGATAGAGAACCAACCTGTCTTGAGAATATGAAAAATCAAATGCAGCAGGACAGCACATGGGCATCAAGAGATTTTTGTAGATTTATACTAATAGCAGCATTAGATGCTATTGTGGACATTGAAAAATATCATTAGGCATCCACATGAAAGAAAAACCATTATAAAGGGCTAATCCTAAACAGACCTGTTGCAAATGAGTGATATGGTCTTCTATATTACTATTATTAATTTATGAAGGAAATGTCTTGGCTCGTCCCCAAATCCTTCTGCCTCCCAGTTCTTTGCTGTAACATCTAGACCAGGATCTGGGGTCAGCACAGCCCCAGCCCCTTCCCCACTGTCTGCCCCAAGGCATGGGTAAACCCATCACAAGCAATGAGCCAAGCCATGGCTCCATGGACCCTGATGCAGCTGCTTGCAACCTGCCCTCCACCTGCTGCAAGCAACCTGGGCTCCATGACCAGTGGCAGGGGCCTACCCAGAGCCAGGGCTGGCTGTGGCAGGCAGCTGGGAGGATGCAAGCAGCTGTATGGGGTCCTCAGAGCCCTGCCCCAGCTCTTTGCCAGTGGCAGATCCAACTGCACCTCAGGACAGACAGCAGGGAAGGGGCCAGGGCTGCACTGCATTACAAGGATTGTGAATCCCCTGCCATCTGCCTCTGGTGTGCCAACATAGTGAAAGTTGAAGTTACAGGGCTTTTTGGCACTCTGCCCAAAAAAGTTGCTAACCCCTGATCTAGACCACTTAACCTCCAGATTCACTGAAGGTGAAACCTTCACTTCCCAGAGCTACTTGGCTGCTAATGCTGTCTCCATATTTAACCCAATGTTGAAATGTTTTACTTTAAGGAATGCCTTCCAAGTATGCCTAGCTGCCAGGAGTTTACATCTGCAAGTATCTATCACTCCAGTGAATTCACGCAGTGGAGGAGAATCACTGTCCTTTTACCACAAAAAACTTGGTAAGAAATTGTGTTTGGATGTGATTATTCACCTAACTTTATATCATAAGGAAAGCCAAATCCCTTGCAGACCTTACTCAAGGCAATGGATGCCTGAGTAAGCAATCATTTCTGTTTGGCTCAGATACAGATACTTTGTCACAAAATATCTTCCTAATTTGATTGGATTGTGATGCAATGATAAGATCAGCCAGTGTTTGTTTTATTTAAGTGAAGCAACACCCCCTTCTACCTCATTACAGGAACAGCATCTAAATTATTTAGAAAGGGCTCCCCACAAACTGAATAATCATTCATCATAATATTTTTGCTCTTTCATAACTGTTTATTTCCCTGAAGCCCTGTTCAAATGTGCACTAATAATTCCAAAATGTTCCAACCTCTTTTTCCCCCTTTACTGCAGAGGTCTTCAAGGGCAGAGGTCTCTTGAAAAAAAAAAACAACTTACCAGAAAGTCTTGCCCTCCTCCTTTTTCCTGCCATCATTGTTCTGCCTGCCTTTACACCTTTATTTGTTTCAACTAAATGATTTATTCCATTATTTATTATAAAGACTTTGTTATAATATTAAAATAACAGATTGTCATAAATCTGATAAATCTTCACCACTTTCTTCATCTGAGAATAAAATTACTCGTTCATTTCAATTCAAATTACACCTTGCTTATTTTCAAACCCTCTGCATCATAGCTATTAGAATTCAAGCTGGGGTAGATTAATTTTTCATTGGGGTTTTTTTTCGGTTCTCTATCATTTTTCTGCATTTGCCATAGCCTAATGCCACCCATTCCCTGTTTCACATTTTCTCTGATGATCCCCCTTTCCAAGATACTGTGCCATTATTGCAAAGCCTGCTATCAACACTTCCATGAGTCTCAGACACAACTTTGGTGGGGGATAGACTTTTGAAAAGTATTAAAGGTGAGGAAGTACCCAGTGTCATAATGTTTGACAAACAACTGATTACTAGGACAAAAAAAGATAAGAAAAATTAATCTATCCCAGCTTTAATTCCAATAGATGTGATGCAGAGGGTTTGAAGATGATGGGCCTGATCTTGCAAGGTGCTGAATTCTCTCAGCTGATAAATCAGTGAGATCCCTACCTAGGCAAACAGCAACGACCATGAGGAGTTCAGCACTTTGCAGGCTCCAAAATAAGGTGGCTTTTAAATTAATTTAGGAGATGTATATTCTGTCAAAGTTGTTATATTAGACCAATGTTATAAACCTTATCAGACTTGAGGCACCCCTCAGAAAATGTCAGCTTAGTTTTGTCTTATTTTTTGACTGTGGAAAAATAATAGCAATTTTTCTCTTGCAAACTACTCAGAAAGACCACAACAGGTCAGAATGTTTTTAATACTATGGATTCCTATTTGAAATCTTTGGCTGCATCCCTGTGAATGGGAATGTGCAGCTGTGGCACCTCAAAGCTTTCTGAGGAGCCGCAAAATGCACACGGCACATGTTAATCTGTTTGCTGCACTGCATATTTGCAGCGTGGCGGCAAAATTAGATACCGGGAAATTCCTGTATCTGAAAACACATGCGCCAGAAAAATTTAGTGCAGTGCACATGGCAGCAGCATGGGCTGCCTGAAACTAAAGCCTGGCCAGCCAGAGCCATGCAGTAGCTCCAGCCAGGCCCCATGCACCCAGATCACTGCTACTGCAGCCCCGGGAGGCCCCCATGTAATGCTGCTGGGGCCAGCCCTACCCCACCCAGGGCAGTTTGCCATGCACCAAAGCACGTGTGCAGGGGCATGCCTGGAGACAAGTAGCAGCAGTACAAATATGTGCCACTGCTATTTGTCACCAGGAAACACACGTTCCCACTCGTGGGGACACCCCCTCTGGTTTTATCTTGTGGATCGTGTTCACACACCTAACAGTGCTAACGCTGCGTGGCACCCTGCTGCACCTTTGAAAGGATCTCAAGGCACCCAAGGATTCTTAGACTGTATAAGTGGAATTAATTTGTTTGGTGTTTTTTCATTTAGGTATTTTAGATTACCTTGACATATAGGATGGCATTTTTAATTTGCCAGACCTGTCTAAAGGGAAAAGTCATGATGAAATAATAGTCAAGTCATTCTTTTATGCCATGTACAAATCATAAATATTTCATGTGCTGGTCTGTGTCTGAAGGGACTTCCTTCTAGAAGCAGAATTTTGTATGTATTTATGATACAGATTGCCACTATACACTCCTTCCTCCCTTAAATACTTTTTCAATATGACTATGACATGATGTTAAGTGTTCAAATTCAAAAGCAAAGGGAGAAGTGATAGTATACCCTCCACCAAAAAAGTAATGAGAGACTCCAAGCTATTATCAGTCACTACCTTTCTTCCCTCCTTTTTCATCAGTGAGCAGAGTTAGGACATAACCACCTCCCTTCTTGGTTTTAACACATATGAGATTAATACAGTTGCTTTTATAAAGAGTAGCAGTGTAAGATGCACTGGCTGTGGAGCATTCTTGAGCCTTCCAGACTTGTAGAAGGAGATGGCTCAGGAGGATGGCTAAAGAGTAAGTTCTGCAGTTCTCCATAAAGCAGCATAACCTTCCCTCCCCAACCCTGGGCCTACTTTTCGGCTACATCATGTATGCAAAGGCAGATGACTGTATCCCATTAAAACAATGGAGCGCTTATAGGCATGTTTGCTGAGCCTCTGCCTAGTGCTCAAAGGAATTCTAGGTACATAACTCACTTGATTAGCGGGTGCAGTTGAAGGAAGAAAGACTCCCAGCACTCTTCTCCTTCCCATCTGCACAAGACAGACCAGATTCTTGCCAGAATTATCATCTTAACTCGCATGAGGCTGCTTGAGTGGAGATTACAGACTGGGGCCTCTTACACACCTAAAAACAAATATATGCAAATCTTTTATTCTATTTTCTTAAGTTCTCCTTTGAATGGAGCAGATGGGAAACAATTAACTGCAGGTAAGTGATAGAGCAGTAAAAAATACAACCACCTGCTAGTTATCTTGGCCATCTCCTATGTCATTGTGCCTATAGGCACAGCTAAAGGGGGTGTAACTCGTACAGCCCAGAGAGCAGCCCTTGGAGGAATTGTCCCAGGCACATTTCCTCAGCAGCACTTCCTCTCTGCTTGCATGGGACAGTGTGCTACATCAGCCCTTTATTGCATGTGTTGTGCTCTCCTGGCACTGTGTGAGGTATGAGAGTATTATACAAACTGCTCCAAATCTGCTAAACCCTCCTCACCTGCTTGTTCATGGAATCAGCAAATAAGTGGGGACTCCATACACCAAGACACAAAAGCTCAGTAGCAGTAATACAGTCTATGAAGAGGTGCCCTTGCTACCCTGCATAGTTGTGGTTGGATTGTGGTAGGGCATTATTTAGCTCTTAATAGACCTAATTTGTAAATAATTCAATGATCATTATTCCTTCAAAAATAATTTGACCTCATGCTCATGTTCAGTAAGTACATTCAGCACACCTAGTACGTCTAGTATTAATTTAAAACCAAATCCTTAAATCCATTGTGAACCATGGAAGTATTCCTTGTCTTCCGACTTTAGAGAATAGCCATTAACTTGGGGACCAGTGGATTCGCATTCACCTGTACAAAGAAGACAGCTCAAAAACAAAAGTAACAGCTGTGGCCACGCAGTGCAGATGCTTTCCCACCAATTTGTGGTGGAAGAGTCATCTCAACATTCACCATGTTACTCTTGCAGGCACCACTGTGTTGCTCAAGCTCTGCACAATAGGCAAGACTGTTCTGTGGTTGAATACTTAGCATGGGGCTGATGCCCCTTTATTGTAGTGAGCATTCTAGGTATAAGCCTTTTTGGATGTTCTGGTATTTTTACACTGACATATGCATGTGTAAAATAGTGTATCCAAGTAAATGTGGGTTTACAAGATCCCTGTGTCATTTGAGATCTGTTATGTTAGAAAATGTGGGTGTGAGTTGTATTGGAAAAAAATCAGATGTATGCACCTGCTCTCTGAAATTGTATTGTACATGAATTGAACATTTCTAACCCTGATGAAAATTAATTTCAGTTTTATGAGATATTTACATATGAACAGGCCTTAATGAGATACAAACAGCTGTCAGTTGCTGACTTCATAAACAAATCAACACCTAATGACTGAATGTGTGTTTCAGGATAATTGGGTAAATGTAATTACAGTAACTCAGAAGGTAGCAAATATAATTTTATCTGCCTCAAATTTGCATTGGCACCTTAGGTTTCCCCAATGTCAGGGGAGAAAGCAGCATGTTAATTTTGAGTCACAGAAAAATTATATAAGAGAAAGGACAGTGTTTTGTCTATAATACCTTTTCCCACATTTGGGAATCAGTTTGATTTCCTTTTGTTGTTTTAAATGCTATAACAGTGCCTTCTATTTGACATCAACCAGACTTAAGTATAATGTAATTAAGAAAGCTAAAATCTGATTTATCTTCCAGAAGCATTTCCAATCATGCAAAAAATCAAATAGAATTTGAAAAAAAGTGATAAATGGAAGTGTCTCATTTTTTTAAAAAGAAATATGTTTACATTTTTGATATTTCACTTCCTGTGTTTATAGTTAGCCAAATGGTGATTGTTCACACAACTTTCTTATCCCTAAAAATGCAGCCAACACTCAGCCTTTTATACTTTTTGTTTTAATTAAAACAACTTTTTAAGACTTATGATTACTATGTTTAATAGAATAATCCTCCTAAGATGTTTTTACCTTAAGATATAGCACAGCTTTGGAGAACTTTCGAAAAATATGGGAGGAGACAGGCTTTTACTACTGCTTTTGCAATCAAGAATTTACCCTAAATATACTTATTGCAGACAGGACTCTAAATATGTGTTATAGCTTTTATTATTCAGTGCAATGTGATGATCATTTTCACATTCATATGGCCCCTTTTCTCCAATTTATCACTATGTTGTGGTGAGGAACCAAACTGCATTGTTTTGCCATGACATAAAGTTAGCACAGTTGCAGGACAGTT